CGGATCAAAATTCCCTTAAGTCATTTTGAAGGTACATGTGTTGAGATGATGTGGAGCGATTTTGAGGCGAATCGGTGAAACAGCCGAGGCTGGTTTGATGTTTGTGTGAGGTGTACATTTGCAATGAATGGGGAGCGTTTGTCGTCGCCACGGCAACAGGGTAAAAAATAAGCCTTGGACCCAATTGACTTTTTGAATCAAGAGGGCAAAACAGATTTATGTGCAAAATTTCAAACATTTTGAAAAAACTAAATTTGAAAATGCCCATCTAAAACTTTGAAATAGTCTGTAGGGGGCGCTAATGTGTCAATTTGAATCATTTCACTTTCAAATGACCTAGACCCTAGAGTTGAACAATGTATTAAAGTTTTGTGTAAATCAGACTTTGTATGTGTAAACGGGAGCAAATTTAATGTTGTCAAAAACGGCCTAAAAAAGGTCACATTTTGCCGCTCCGCTGCTCGAATAACGTTGCACTGATCAAAAATCCCTGAGGTCATTTTGAAGGTACATGTGTTGAGATGATGTGGAGCAATTTTGAGGCGAATCGGTGAAACGGCCGAGGAGGAGTCGCTTTCCAACCGACATGTATGAAAACTTTTGCTGTTCATTTTTCCATTTTGCAGTGAAATTTATGGGCTTCCTGTTTGTCAGAGGGCGGGGCCATAATAATATTTTTTTCTTGTCTTGACTTGAGGAACACGTGTACCGAATTTCATGACTCTACAACAAACTTGATCTTCAGAACTCCCACAGGGGTATTATTTTGGCTGTTGTAGGTGGCGCTGTTCTGGCATTTTTTGAGTCCCATAAAAATAAACACCAAAATATCAAATTTTTCGCTCAGGTCTGATTTTTGGGCAAAATTTAACAACTTTTCATGCATATTCAGGGGTCAAATTAAGGCTCAAAGTGCAGAAGAAAAAAGAAAGAAAGAAAGAAAGAAAGAAAGAAATTAAAGCCGCAAGCGGCGTCGAACGGCCCTCGCCGCACCGCGCGACTCCCTGCACCCGCGCGCACTCCCCGCACCACGCCGCCCCGCACCAAGCCGCCCCGCACCACACTAAGTTCCAGTGGTTTCCATTGTTTCTTTCTCTCAGACAAAATGGAGTCAGTACACAGTTTATATAGTCATTGTCACGTCACACATTGAAAGACATACGTGTCACACAGACACAGTCACATCATAGTCAAAATAATCAGAGTCCTTGTAGAGTCCTGCACGTAGGCCATATTGCTATCTAAAGCCTAGCGTACATCTACAGAGAAACTGGGGACAACTAGTTGCAAGGCGGCTTTTGGCAACTGAGAGGAGATGATGGGAGATGATCAGTTGCTGAAATCGGTCGATGTGCGCGCTCTTACAACTGGAGATAAACAGTCGGTCTCCAGTTTCAGTCAGTTGCCCGTGTTCTACTTTTCGGCAACTAGTTGTCCTCAGTTTCGGAGATATGACCCAATGTGCGCGCTCCATGCGCCGCTCCGACAACGTGTGTGTATTGCGTGTATTGCGAGCCCGCAACAGTTTATGTCAGAAAACACACTGTAGTTGACGGCCAGTTGGTGTCGATATACGCGCTGTTATTCCCAAGACTGGTCTGCTACTGGGAGTTGCCCGTTTTCGTCAGATTGTCGATGTGTGCGGGGCAGCAACTCATATGCGACGGATATAATCAGTTTCCAGTCCGATGTACGCTCGGCTTTATACTAACACGAGAATATAACACATATTTTCAGTTGGTTCATACTCTTTTAGGTATGTACATAATTCCACATGAGTTGATTCAGTTTTGATGCCTTCAGTGTGAATCTACAATGTTCATAATCATGAAGAAAATAAAAATCCAAACTTTTGGTCTGTACACACATATATCCTTTGATGAGCACTTACACTTTCAACATGTCTTTTGTCCTATTGAATTTATTTAATTGATTTTTGATGTGACAAGTGAAGAGGATGAAAAAGTCTGGGATCGCGTCTTAAATTCAGACAGAAGACATGTTTTATTGTCGATGGTAGAGACAGCACGAACAACACGAACAACAGAATGCAAGTTTATTATACAGAGCGGAGGCATGGAGACCTCCAATCAGCAGCTTCCACGGTGTGCTTGTAGCTTGGCCTTCAGATAGACAAAACAAGGGAAAAGTACTGGCTTCTGCACATTGATAGAATGATGAGTTTAACTTTAACAAAAGTTGCTTCAAAGTGTTATGAAATCTCACACAAGCTATAATCATGATCAAGTGTGTGTGTGTGTGTAAACAAAATCCGGGTCTACAGTGTGATCTGATCCATGCTGCAGACTGACTGAAAGTAGTTGTGCAGAATAGATCAAGTTGTGCTCCCCCTCAACCCTGATTTGCATTTGTATAGCTCACAGCATTCCCATTTACATGTTAAAGCCTCCTGTGGAGGAGGGAGGAGGGGACAACAAACTACCTGCCGAATCCCAGAAGTTTCATAGTAATATACAGGGCCGAAAAGAGACGAAAATCACACTTTTCATGCAGTGAGTCATCTCAGAGGACTTAACAAAACCATTGAAATCCCCAACTCAGAGAATCAATAGTCAAGACACAAAAAAGAATATAGAGCACGTGTCGATAGATGTCCATACATGTTGTAGAATCTTAAAGTGTCCTGGACCATCACCACAGTCCTTTTTGTTAGACACCGACACACTGTCCAACCGACCCTCCTGCATCGGCAAGGAATAACACAAAAATTACCAGTGGGAAAAAATTGAGAAACCTCGGGGAGATCCACATTGAGAGAGGGATCCGCTCCACACGGACGGACGGGCTGTAGATCCAGGATCTAAGCTACAGAACGTGGACCAGGGTTACGCAGCGGCCGGAGAACGTGGACAAGTCCGGTGCAGGACTGAAGCAGCTCCCAGGCGGGTCAGGCAGGGCAATCCACAGGTGTAGATGGAGGAGGCCAGGTTCAGAAGTCCTGTTGTCGCGCCATGAAACAGACAATGGGACAACGGGTAAACAGCAATGAACAGACTACAGTCAAAATCCTACTAATGCTAAACAGATAAAGTAGGAAGGAGGAGAGGATAGTGCTCAAGTAATAATAATAATAATAATAATACCTTTAATTTGTAATGCACTTTACATACAAATCTCAAAGTGCTACAGCACAACTACAATAAAAGCACACATCATTAAAGTTAAAACGGTGTTAAAACAATGTTAAGAAGGAAACAGAAAAGTTTTAAGTCCTCTTTTGAAGTTCTCCAATGACTGTGGGGCCCTCAGGTGTGGTGGTAGGGCGTTCCACAGTTTGGGAGCAGCCGCCTGGAAAGCCCTGTCACCCATTGTCCGGAGTTTAGTTCTGGGGATGGAGAGGAGGTTGGTGTCTGTGGACCGGAGTGCTCTGGTTATGGGCGGAGGAGTGAGAAGTTCTGTGAGATAGTCCGGGGCATGTCCGTGGATGCATTGGTAGGTGAGGAGGCAGATTTTGTATTGGATGCGTTGGATGATTGGATGCCAGTGAAGATCGCGGAGGACTGGGGTGATGTGCTGGTGCTTCGGCGTCCTCGTCAGGATCCTGGCAGCGGTATTTTGGATATGCTGAAGCTTTTGAAGGCTTTTTGCCGGGATCCCGACGAGGAGGGCGTTGCAGTAATCCAGCCTGGAAGAGACAAAGGCATGAACTAAAGTTTCAGCGTCAGAGGGGGAGAGAGTGGAGTGGAGTTTGGAGACGTTTTTGAGATGAAAAAGGAGATTCTACAGAGATTTTGGATATGGTGTTCAAATGACAGGATGGGGTCAAAAATGACTCCCAGGTTGCGGACAGTGGGGGAGAGGGGCAGGGTGAGACCGGAGAATGCAATACCAGAGATGGGGAGGGATTTGAGTTGGTGGGGGGTTCCGATAAGAATAGCCTCAGTTTTGGAATGGTTTAGTTGTAAGAAGTTTTCTGCCATCCATGCCTTTGTCTCCTCCAGGCAGGCTGCCAGAGCTGAGTGTGGGGCTGATGTGGAGACAGAGTTAGTGCGCAGGTAGAGCTGAGTATCATCGGCATAGCAATGGAAGGAGATACCATGCTTGCCGATGATGTGGCCGAGGGGGAGCATGTAGATGTTAAATAGGGTAGGGCCAAGGACCAATCCTTGAGGGACCCCGCATGTGACAATGCGGGGCCGTGACCTTGCGTCCCCCAGGGCCAAGTACTCAACTCTACCTGCCAGGAATGACTTGAACCAGGAGAGAGTTGTTGCGGACAGACCAATGTTGTGTTGTAGGCGGTGGAGCAGGATGTTGTGATCGACCGTATCAAAAGCAGCTGTTAAATCAAGAAGGATGAGAAGTGAGGGGGAGCCCTGCTCAGAGTTCATCAAGAGGTCATTGGTGACCCTGACCAGGGCTGTCTCTGTACTGTGCGCAGAACGAAAACCGGATTGACATTTTTCATAAAGCGAGTTTGCACGGAGGTGATCGTGGAGCTGGCCAGCTACAGTCCTCTCCAAAACCTTCGAGAGGAATGGAAGGTTGGAGATGGGCCTTTAGCTGGCCAGGTCATCGTGATTGAGGTTGTGTTTTTTAAGATGTGGTCTGATGAGTGCGGTTTTGAGTGCAGAGGGGACAGTGCCAGTGCGAAGTTACCATACTTCTCCCAGACTGACTCCCTACGCAGCTTGACTGACAATCTAAGATGTTTAGCCTTCCCTGAGTCTTACCTTCATAACCATATGCTAAAATGAAGAGCCTTGAATGTAGGGTTGAAGATCCAGCGGACCGGGTCCCGTACAAGCAGACTCCAAGACCAGACAACGACCTGACCGGACAAATAACCTAACCATGTACTAAAATGAGTGTTTTAAGCCTGGCCTTGAATGTACAGGCCTTGTCTGCTTCCTTAATGTGGATGGGAAGATGATTACACAGTAAAGGAGCTTGGTAGCTGATTGCTCTGCTACCGACCACTTATTTGGGATGTGAGTGTTGCCCATCTAACTCTGTGTCCTGTTGTTGCTTGTGCGCAGGATTATGTGCAAGCTCTGACGGGGCTGTGCTATGACGGCGTGGAGGGCATCATCTACCTGTTGCTCTTTTCCTTCGTCACGGCGCTCATGTTCTCCTCCATTGTGTGCAGCGTGCCACATACCTGGCCCCCCAAGAGGTACTCTCACCCCGGCCCATAACCACTCTAACTCATGCTAACCACACAAAAATCTAACCGGTCGCACCGTCAAGGCAACCTCTGTGGAGGGAGGGGCTGTGCATGTCTTCTGTCACCAGAATGAGATTATGATATAAGTATTGGACAATACAAACCAAAAACTAAAAGAGCACTTTACGCCTGACTATGCTCGACAATCATAATGTTGTGGATACTGCTTTGTACAATTCAAATGTAAAAGTACCAAGCAACGTCAATACGTACAGTGTGTGAATTTATCACACAAGTTCCCTTTTGAGGAGGGTGTGTGCTCCTCTCCTTCACAATCACAATACATCTGACTTTTATTCTTGGCCCATCAGTTCTCAGTTGGGTTTAGGTCAGGAGAGGAGGGGACAGGGTTTTTGGGCTCTTTGTCAGCCATGCTGTGGGATACTTTGTTTCATAAGATATAGAGGAGCTGTATAGAATTTCTATACACCTGATCCATAGCGGGACCTGCTTGGACCCTTCCCCTCCATAGAGGGATGTTCTTCCTCCCTTCGCCACAGACATTTAATAATTGTGTCTTACAGTTAGACAATATGGTCATAAAAGATATTATTTTTGGAGAATACACCATTTATCAGGCAATGTTCTGAAATATTTTCTGTATTTTAAAATTCATATTTACCTTCTGGTGACAAGTGTATGCATGGGTTGTGCATCAGCAGACATTTTGTTTGGTAGTTTTTGTCCCAGCTTTGTTGCTCCTCACTTCTCATTCTGTGTTTTAATTTTCCCTGTGGCCCACTTCTCAAGCCTTCTGTCCCCACCAATCCCCTACCCCACCCCCGCTTTACCCGTCCTGATTTGGAAACGCCCTGGGCATCAGCAACCTGGACTGTTCCATTAACCTTGCCCTTAAGATGGCCTTTAGCTTGTTTTATTGTTTATTTACATATCTCGACATGGTCAAAACGAGCCCTGCATTGAACAAGGATTATTTGTAAATATAAGATTTTGATGCAAAAATTCAGACTCAAAATAAATCAAAAATACTTTTTCATTATTATGCTAGAAAAGGAGTTTCAAATCCACAAGTCTAAATGCGAGTTTGCCTCTGTGCACCTGCAGTGTACTTCTAGCTTTAAGATAACAACACCTTTATTCGTCCCACAGTGGGGAAAATTCAAATGTAATAAGTTAATACTGCATATATTTTATATAGCGCTTTTTTGGACACTCAAAGATGCCTCTCGGTGGTTCATCTATATCAGACAATTATAAGACTGTCAACTGTGAAGACAAGATGAACCTTTCTTCACTAAGCAGAGTGTTACGAGTCGGACAAAGAACTCAAGTGCAGGGGGTAACAAAAAGTTTAATGAACAAAAATACGGGAACTCAAAACACAGGCGAGCTGGGACAGGTGCTCTGACACAGAGATTTACCTGTGTACCTCCACCTTTCAAATCTCAAATCATGATAGCTCCTGCTCTGTCCTGCTTAGAAAACATTCAAAGCCATCAAGACGTCAAAGTTATTTTCTCTCTTCTCGTATACATAAAACAGTCAAATAGATCCTACAAAACTATGGCTTTTCTCACTTTCTCAAGCGTTGCAAAATAACATGGGACAAGTTTAAAACAAGCAAAAATGTTCTAAGAAGAAGAAAGTAAAGTTTTTTACAATTAATATCATGCCTTTACATTGTGTTCATTTTAAAATAGGTTAAACAAAAGTATTTTTGCAGCATTTGACTATCTTTCAACTAGTCGAGAATTTTGTTAAGCTGTGCACATTCAGGCAACTGAATCCACAGCTATTCCATCTGACAGTAGTATATACAGACAAATAACCAGGTGCTAATATGACATTTGGCTGGGATAAACAATAGCTGCACTCTCACTTATTTCAGCCTTTTACTGCAGCTTTGAGTCGCAGCAATCACCTCCAGGCCCCAGGGATCCCTCAAAAGGCAGTACTAAGACCGAGACTAGAGAAAACCTTGTGCGCTGGAAAAAGCAGCAGCCATATTGAGAGTTTAGAATGAAAATAGTATTTAAAAAGGAAATTTAAATCCTCTATTGAAATGTTTTAATTGACTTAAAATGGTGTATTTGAGCCTTAGCAATGCAGAAATAGCTACAATTACCTCATCAATAGGCTTTCTTAATGCTTACCCAGTAGTAAATTTATAATCCACATAGATCATTGTTTTAGCTTTTGTTCCCTTTCAGCTGCTATTTTGCGCAAAGACTGCTTATTAATAGAAACTGGATCATGGACTCCATGTTCAAAACCGCTTGTATGTAGTTTGTTTTCACCACACCTATCTGCAGACATTTGATTGTCCATGTATATGGCAAAGAATATATATTTGTGCAAAGAAAGAACATTACAAGATGATTCCAAATTACAAGAATCCATGCAATTCCAATATTTTGATCAAATAAAAGCTGTTATGCATCCCCCATTATGCCATGGAGACATAATGACTGTCCACAGGCAGCAGCTCCATCTGGTGGATAAAGTGCGCTCTGCGATAGGCTCCCCTCTCAGATAGATGACGTAATGGTAGTGTAGATTAGAAACCTCCAACCTGGCAACTGCAGATGTAAAGAAAAGCAATTTCAGGGCAATAACAACAAACACAGGTTGAGCTGGCATCAAATTACCTCAATGTCACAGTGGGATGAATTAAAGGAGAAAAATTACATCATGATTTACTTTTCAGATATTTGTATCTTGTACATGTAGGGGCGACAGTAGCTCAGTTGGTAGAGCATTGGCCTTTGGGCCTGAAGGTCGTGGGTTCAAGCCCATCATAAGACCTACTTCACGACTCCCACTGATGACTGCTGTCGTTGTGTCCTTGGGCAAGACACTTAACCCCACTTTGCCTGAAGCTCCCACTGAAAGATCTCAGCTCCTGTGGACTCACCACCTGCAGGAGGATCAGTGAGGGGCTGGTGCTAAGTGGACTGGGTGCAGCTCTGACTGCCACCCCCTGACCCAGAAATGGATTGAGGGGAAGAAAATGGATGGATGGATGGATATTTGTATCTTCTTACCCAAAACATAGCATTGTTTCTTTTAGGTTTGAGTAATCAGAGGATTGTTCACCTACCTTGCCCACATATTCTTCCTTATGCATAGAAACAATAAACAGTAGTACAAGAAATAACAAATCAATAGGTTATGACCTATGAATAATTTTTGTAATACCTGAATGCTTGTATTTTTGTAAACACTTGTTTCGTATTGGCTGAGAAGGAGTATTTCTATTCACCTCTGGGATAAGTGATGTTGCCAAATGTGTCATAGATTATAGAATGGTGTCATCATTAAAGAAAACAAATGCTATGAGTCTGCATTTTTAGCAAGTCAATAAACATATTTGCACTAAACTTGTTTTGGATCAATACTGCTTCATAGTAAATAAACATGTAAAATAAGGATCTATACATGTTACAGTTTAATTTGAAACACCCACCCATAGCAGCATTCATCAGTGATTGGGATTCGCAGTCCTCCAAATCAGCATGTGCTCTTTCTTTTCTCACATTCCAACCATTTTGTGCCTGAAAAAGTTTTGCTCGCAATTTACTTATTTCTCTTTTGATTTGAGATTTCCTTATGTATTGCTTTCTTATTAATGAGTCATGGCGCTGAGTGAATAGAGCTACTTCGTGTGCCCCAGAGGGAAAACCTCAAAGTGCATGAGTGATGCACCATGCTCAAGAGAATGGTCTGATATGGAGTTTTTCAGCCGTATGTATGATTACCTTTTACTGCAAATTGGTCAATCCTGACATGGCTCATATCTGGATTGACGAAGACCAGATCAAAATATAACCACTAGAAGAGCATGCTAAACCACAGATTATGAGTGTGACACAAATGGTACTTACGTTGCGAGTTTAGAGCAAAACTTTGTCAATGAACAATAAACACTTTTGAGCTAGGGAGTTAAAATTGTCTATACATAGTTCCCACATGACGTCACTACATACGGGGATTTGCCTACCCGGCGCCATTTGTGTTGGCATGCTGTGGGCAAAATAATAGAAAAAGAAGCTGAAACGTGTTAATGTCGTGATAAAGTTGAAAATGGTCATCTCCTGCTGGGTCAATGGATGTTCAAATCGTGCCGGAGGTTCTGTTAAACTTGGATTTTACAGTATACCCATCATTAGACTTCATGAATGTGAGAAGACTAAGCTTTTGTCAGAACAACCACGGAGGTTATGGCTTGCGAAGATAAACAGGCAAGAAACTCCCTCAAAACACGCAAGAATATGCTCGGAGCACTTTGTGTCAGGTGCGTATCGTATCTTATAATGTGTTGACAGACGTAATTTACTCAGTACTAACTTGTGTATGCTGATATCTGGTAACTTGAGAGTTTCATTATTTAGATTACTTTATTATGAGGAGGATCGGTGTCGCGTCCGAGGCTCTCGAGGGCAACGTAAATGTATTAAATAGATAATAATAGTTCTATGGTGGGCTAAAACAATGTTCACAAACAGCATTGCTTCTGTAAAAAGATCTGTGTCATAAAATAAACTGCTCTTTACGCCTGGAAAAATCAGTTGCCCACCATTCACCAAAACATACGGTCAAAAACGCGGAAAATAAACAATAACAGCAATCCAGAGTGTCCGTGTGGCATTAGCATTAATTAAATGAATTGTTAATATAATTAAAATAATTAAATGGAGCTCCAACTGGTATTAAATCTAAAGTTTTTTGAGAAATGTTTGCATTGCTTGTTAATTTTTGCTGCATAATTTGATCAAATATGTAAAACATGTCCGTAGCACGTTAAACTGTGGTGCCATTGTATTAATATACAATTATTTGCTCAAAAGTTGCCCTTTTTTTCCAATTTGCGTTTGAATATCTACATTTATTCTCATTCTTCTGTTTAATGGAATGCACAAACACAGCAGCGTGCCATCAAAGATGGCGTCTCCGAGGAGGTCATGTGACATTCATTGGTCTGTGGGAAC